GAGCACTCCAGGAGGTCAACACTGTGTTAAATGCATTGTTTCACCTTTTTCTCCCTCAATAACCTTACAGAGTTAAATTACAATTTTCCAACATTTTAGGGTAAAAAATTTCAGGGAAATTGAGTCACAGAAAGGGTTTTTCTGTTTGTTTGGTTCATTGATTGTGGCTTTTTACAACTTGCCAATATGTAACAACGCCAGGATGAACGTCCGGATCCAACTGGCTCCAAAACCTGTGGGTTTTTCAGCCATACCAGGGTGGCGAAATGGCGACCTGTGGTTCCCACAAAGTTCTTAAAAATTTTCTGAATTTGGCTGGGCGTGGTGGCTCACGCCTGTAATCCAAGAACTTTGAAGGCCAAGGCGGGCGGATCACCTGAGGTCAGGAGTTCAAGACCAGCCTGACCAACATGGTGAAACCCCATCTTAGGAAAATAAATAAATAAATAAATAAACAAAATTTCTGAATTTGTTGCTAACATTTTAAGCCAGGGAATTTGACAGAATAATCAAGATTTCCAGCTTCCTTCTTAAAATGTGAAAGCTGGGCTCGGTGCAGTGGCTCATGCCTGCAATCCCAACACTGAGGCAGAAGAATCACTTGAGGCCAGGAGTTTGAGACCCATCTGGGCAACACAGTAAGACTCCCATCTGTACAAAAAAAATAAAATTTAATTTAAATTATCCAGTCATGGTGGCATGTGCCTAAAGTTCCAGCTACTCTAAAGGCTGAGGCAGGAAGACCACTTAAGCCCAGGAGGTCAAGGTGGCAGTGAGCCATGATCTCACCACTGTACTCCAGGCTTGGCAAGAATGAGACCCTGCCTCCAAAGAAGCGAAAGATCTGGCAATCCTGGGCCATTTGCTGATATGGCCATACTCAGCTGGAGACGGAGGGCAGTGCAAAGGCTATCCACCATGATGCCCATCCATCAAGCCTCCAAGGGCATTTGAGCTTGTGATCCCTGTGAACATCCCTGAAGGCAATGACTGTGGCCTCAAACCATTTCTGTTCCCCAGTAGGGGTCACATAGAAGTCACAAGACTTCTTTTATTATTAATGAATAATTACTCATATGATACTCAATTATTTAAAGACTCTTTCACTGGGGCCAGGGCACTGGCCAGGGATATCCAGCCAGCCACTCACACCCACTGCACCTCATGGTAGGAAATATCTCCTGCATCCTCAGAGGCCTGTGATGAGAGTCACATGAGACAAAGATGGGAAAGTGCTTTTAAAGAAAACCTCAAATGTTTGACTTTATTATTCTCTATTGCCTGCATCAGGTCCCCTCATTTCCAAAACCTCTAAACAAAACATAAACTGAACACAGAAGGGGCTGGCCTAAGAGGGCAGGGCACACTGAGTCTGAGGGTGTGTGCCTGGCTCTACACTGTTTCACATCCATTATCTCATTTAGTCCTCATTACAGTATTCTTGTATTCCCATTTCACAGCCCAGGAAACTGTGGCTCAAAGAGAGTAAGTGACTGGCCCAAGAACACGTTGCCAGGCAGTCTGATGCCAAAGTGGGTGGCCGAAACCTCTACGCTAGAAAAGCAAAAACTCACACACCTCCTTCCTTGCAAGTGTTAAAAAGTAAATTAAAATGGAGACTAACCCTGAAGAATTCCTGAGCAGACAGTACCAATCAGACATCCTAAGTGACCTAAATCTTGTTTCAACTGCGAAGATAAGCAAAATTTAACCTGGGTCATATCTGATAAATGCTTATGTTAGAGAGAAATAAAACTTAACTCCAGCCAATCATAAGCTAGCATAAACAGTCAACTAACAGACCTTTTAAAAAGGCAATTCTGTAACCGCAAACCAATCAAATAATTCCTCTATTTCTCTTCCACGTTTTCCCAATAAATACTTGCCTCTGACGCTTTGCCACTGCAACACTAAACCTGGTTTGATGTTCTCCAATTCAAGAACTGCTTCTTACTCAAAGTTTTCAAAATGTGTCTCACATTTTTCCTCTACACAAGACACACGAGCACTAACAGTGTACTCTGAGCATGGCGTGGAACCGCTTTAGCGAACACCGACTAAGAAAGAGGTGTTTGGGATTCTTTGGCTCCGCTGGGGGGCTCGAACCCACCCACAGGGAAAGCTGGGCTCCCACACAATGGCTCTTCGAGAGGCGTGGGCAACGGGCCGTGCAGCGCGGGAACAGGAGGCCGGGGGCGGGGACGCACCTGGATGTCCTCGATCATGTGGGGCTTGAACAGCTCGCGGCTCAGCAGGGCGTCCCAGAGCTGGTCCACCCGCAGCTCCTCCACCAGCAGCCGCCGGTGCCGCCGCAGAAGCAGCCGGTCCGCTTCGTCCATGGCGAGCTGCCTCCTCCGTCGGCTTCCGGGCCTCGGAGAGCCCGCCCCGGTTCCTAGGACCCGCCCTCGCTCCAGGTCCCGCCCTCGCTCCAGGTCCCGCCCCCGCGTCACTGCCCCGGGTCACTCAGCTGTACCGCCTCAGGACGCATCTCCAAGGCCTCGCCCCGCCTCCAGGATTCGCTCTTGCGTCACCGCCCCGCCCTCAGGACGCCCCTCCGCTCCTCGCCCCGCCCCTAAGGCCGATACGTCACTTCCCCACCCCGCCCCAGAGCCCACCCCGCGTCACCGCCCCGCCTCCAAGACGCGTCTCCAAGGCCTCGCCCCGCCCCCAGGATTCTCTCTTGCGTCATCGCCCCGCCCTCAGGACACCCCTCAGCTCCTCGCCCCATCCCCAAGGCCAATACGTCACTTCCCCACCCCTCCCCAGAGCCCGCCCCGCGTCACCGCCCCGCCTCCAAGACGCAGCTTCAAGGCCTCGCCCCGCCCCCAGGATTTGCTCTTGCGTCACCGCCCCGCCCTCCAGACGCCCCTCCGCTCCTCGCCCCGCCCCCAAAGCAAACGTCACTTCCCCACCCCGCCCCAGAGCCCGCCCCGCGTCACCGCCCCGCCTCCAGGACGCATCTCCAAGGCCTCGCCCCGCCCGCTTTGCGTCATCGCCCCGCCCTCAGGACGCTCCTCAGCGCCTCGCCCTGACTCCAGAATCCATTCCTCGCTACCGCCCCGCTCCAGGATTCAACCCGCGCCCCCAACCCTCCCCCAAGGTTAATCTTGCGCCACTTCCCCGCCCCCAAGGTCTAGCCTCGCGCTACCGCCCCGCCTCCAAGAACCAGCCCCTCCCTTCGCCCCACCCTCAGAATCGTCCTTGCGTCACTGCCCCGCCTGAGGCTCCGGCTCGCATCCTCGCCCCGTCCCCAAAGTCAATCACGTCCCCAAGAGCCACCCTCCCGCCACCGCCCCGCCCCAAGGCGGCACCTCCGCGCCTCGCCCCGCCCTCAGGGCGCAGCCCCGCCCGCGTCACCGCCCCCCTCCGGGCGCAGGTGCCCCTTTGCAATTGTGGCACCAGTTCCCGGTCCATGGCGGGCCCCTCGCTGGAATTCGCTACGGCCCCGCTTTTACAGAGATTCGGAGGGAGTCGTCAGACTTCTAGCAAAAAGGAAACCATTCGTGGGGCCATGGTCTGTCCCGCCCCATTCAACCTCCTCCTGGGCACGGCTTCCCCTTAGCCTCCTCCTCCACCCCAGATAAAACCATAAGCACCCCCCCCTTGGAACAGATGGCTGTTCCAAACTCGAGTGTCTGATCCGACCAAGCCCAATTTACACGATCTTCCTTTCCCTCTTCCCTCCCTCCCACCCTAACACCTCTCACACAGGAAAAAAAAAAAAAAAAAAAAAAAAAGCTGGCAGAAATCTAGTCCGCTAACCTCCCATCGTTTTGAACGGTTCATTTTCACATTTCAGAAATAATCGTTTCTGTTTAGTGGGCATTTGCTAAGTCCCAGGCATTGTGCTAACCACTTTTCAAGCTTCTCTCTTTTCTCCCTAACTGCAATCCTGCCAAGAAAGTATTCCCGCCCCCCGCCTTCCGCCAGTTTTACAGATGTAGACCCTAGGGTTCAGGAAAACGGATGTTTAAGGTCACATGAGTAGTAGTGGCTGAGGTAGACAGGATTGAAACCCGAATCTGACTTTATAGGCCGTATTCGAAGAATCCAAGAGTCTTAGAACATAATCGCTTGAACAGCAAAACCTCAGCCCCATCTATTCACTTATTCTACGAATATTTATTGAGCCTGGAGTCAAATACTGAGAACATGGAGGTGAACAAAACAAAATCTCTGCTCTTAGAGCTTACATTCCAGTGGGAGGATCAGGTATAAATAAATAACAGGCTGTAGAAATAAATGAAAGACATAGTATGTTAGATAGTGATAAATGCAAAGAGAAAAAAATAAAAACAGGGCAGGGAGATATGAAAGTGCTTTATATCCCCAAGGGTTCTAACTCATTGGCTCAAAGTTTCTCTCTCACCTGTGCCTTTTCCCTCCCCCCGCCCCCACCTCCTTTCCCCGTGCTTAAGGCAGAGACTGGAACATCCTTGGGTGGAGCTCACTTTTCAGTAAACGGGTTTAGGAGTCCTGGATTCTCTCTCTCAAAAAAAAAAAAAAAAAAAAAGATAAACAAAAATAAAAGGAATCCTGGATTCTAGGCCTTGGGCAAATCCCTGCCCCTCTCTGGACCCTAGTCTCCCTATCAATATATGGAAGAGTTGGAGAGTTGAAGAATCCCTAAGGTCCCTTCCAATCCGACGCTCTAGGATTCTATGAATAGGGTTAAACTGAGCAGGGACCAAAGATTGCGTCCCCATCCTAGCAACTGTTGCTAGACGAGGGCCACCTCCCGGCAGCAGCGGAAACGCCTTCCTGGATCGGGGAGGTCCTTCTGGCATCCCATGATGCATAGCGACTTCGCCTCGCTAGGAGGCACGTTTTGGCCTCTTTGGTTCACGATCAACCCTTTGGCTGTAACCAAAGAGCGCGCCTCGTTCCTGTAGCAACCGCGCGAGGTCCACCCGCAGACGGCGAGTGGCAAGGGTCAAAATAGATTCGCCAAGTAGAAGCCCTCGACCGGTTCAGTCCTCGCCTCGGTGCGACGGACCTTTAAGCGTCACGTGACTCCCCTTCGGGCTCGTCCCCGCCTCTTTCCCTTCCCCAGGCCCGGGCGAGAGCCGGTTTGGACGGGAAGCTCCCGGCCCGGCGAACTAACTGGAGCACGGACGCCGCAGCCGGTTGGGCCGGTGCCCTTTCCCGGTAACTCCTTCCAGGCGTGACGCGCGGAGCCGCGAATGCGGCGGGGCCAGGCCGACTCAGGGATTTCCCGTCAGTTCCTTCTCGTTTCCAGTCACTGCTGGGCCCGGGGGGAGCCGGGAGCCAACAGGGCCGGGCCCTGGGCTCTCGGAGGGCGGCCGGGGAGGGGGCTGTCACCTGCAGGGTTACGACCTCCGGCAGGAGCGCGAGGCGGGGCTTAAACCTGGAGCTTGTCCCTGGGAGCCTCTGCCTGGTGGTGGAGATGCTGCCCAGAGGGCTGGCAGCCTACCTGTTGGGCAGGTGTTTGCTGCCCCGAGGTCGGCGCTGTCTGTCTCGCCTGTCCGCGAAAAAACTTCACAGACCGCCGCCACTTGGGCCCTCTAACTGGAAGGAACTGACACCGTTAAATAAGGCAGCGATCGTACTGCATGGTAGAAATAATAGCAGTAACGACCATTTGTAACTGTTGACTTTGGGCTCAGTAAACCCTTTACATGCATTTAGTGCCCCCTTACCCCGTGATGATCCTTCAAGGTAATAGTATTCACTCCCATTTTATGAATAAGGACGCTGATGCTTAATAAGTTTAAATAATTTGCCCAAGGTCATAAAGTAGTGAAGAACAGATCCGAGTCTTCAACCTATATGCTTAACCGGTAGCTACATCGCCTTCACGTATTTTGTAGGACATAATAGGTTGCCTTAACAAAGAAGAAACTGGTTTGTTTTAGGATGTTATTCGGCACGTATGCAATTTTAAACGTTGATCCTCAGATTAGTAATTTTGTGAGGACTCCCAAGCGTCATTAAACTTGGACTTACTGTAATCCACCACTGTTACAGCCTTGTTCCTCTTCACTAAAGTGTCACATTAGATACTCAAACCTTAAAACTGTATTAACTTATGAGAAATCAAGATAAATGTGTTCCTTGAGAAAACAAAAATCATATGGTATAACAATGATCATAATTGTGGGGTATTAATGTCTGCAATTCCAGCACTACCCTGCTCATTAACCAGCCAGGGTGATTTCCAAAATTCACAATGAATTCAGTCACTACTCACCAGAGATGGAGCTTAAAACTTTTAAAGACCACCCGTCTTATTTGGTCTTTGCCACTAATTCTTCACTACATGGAAAACTCACTTTTTTCTGGCCACTTTTTCTCATTAAGAATGACCGTATTGGCTGGGCACGGTGGCTCACGCCTGTAATCCCAACACTTTGGGAGGCTGAGGTAGGCCTCCTGAGCTCCTCAGGACCACCTGAGGTCAGGAGTTCAAAACCAGCCTGGCCAACATGGTGAAACCCAGTCTCTACTAAAAATACAAAAAGTTAGCCAGGCACAGTGGCGCATGCCTGTAATCCCAGCTACTTGGAAGGCTGAGGTAGAATTGCTTGAATCCGCGGGCGGAGGTTGCAGTGAGCCGAGATCACACCATTGCACTCCAGCCTGGGCAACAAGAGTGAAACTCCATCTCAAAAAAAAAAAAAAAAAAAAAAAAAAGACCGTATTGCTAATGATTAAAGGGCAGCTTCTCATTTTCTTGTTTGAATGGGTATGGTGAGAAAGGATAGAATTGAGGCATACTGTGCCTTAACTACACAGTTTTTTGAGAGTGTTTCACCTGCGCGTTTGTACTTATTTAATGCCCAAGAATGGCACAACTATCTCATTCTGTAGTTTCGTACATAGTAAATCTTACTCTTTCATGAGTTTAACATGTACTCAGTGAAGTATTCTTACACCATTTATTTTGTTTCAACTCTTCTTATCAGAATAAATGAAATCATGTATGTGAGAGGTAGTCACCCTGATTATCCTACTTAGGTTTTCCCACATTCATGTATTATTGTTTCTGCATCCCATTCATTTTCAGTCATTTCTAAAGCTTTTCGAGTCCAACTATTCTGGACAGTTGCTATTCTTATTGCTCATCTTTTCATCTGTAACGATTCTTATTTGTGATATTCAAAAGTAGTAGCAAGATTTTTTTTTTAATTTTAAGATATAAACAGCTTGACACTTTTTCTGCAAAATACCTTTTGTTTTTTTGTTTTTCATCTATATATCTTATACCTTTACCTAAAAAACAAGACTGTCCAGGTTTCTGCCACTGAAACTCATTGCCTCTTCAATCATTTCAGCTCTGGAAAGGAAGAGAAATGGAAGTGAGAAAGTTGAGCATTTCCTGGCAGTTCTTGATAGTTCTGGTTCTGATCCTGCAAATTCTGTCTGCGTTGGATTTTGACCCATACAGAGTCCTAGGGGTCAGCCGAACAGCCAGTCAGGCTGATATTAAAAAGGCTTATAAGAAGCTCGCCCGGGAATGGTAGGTGAATCAAAGAAATAGAGATTTAATGTAAATTAAGCAGTCTTAGCAGGGGAATGAAGTCTAAATTATGACTAGCTTTTATTTGTCTCTGTTTCTGTGCTCAATATATATATCTGTCTAAAATATTTTATGCAGGAGAGCTAATGTTCGTGTACTATAATTGTTAGCAGTAAGATGCAAAGCCTGTGTTTACTCTGAAACTCCCTTTTAGGAATACTTTGGCTTAAAGAATTGCCTTAGATACTGTTAACATATTTAATGTTAAAGTAGGAAGAAGCTTTAATTTAAAAAAAAAAGTATCTATCTATATCTATATCTATAGATATAGATATAGATATAGATATAGATATAGATGTAGTCAATACTGGATATCCCACCGTTCCCATGATATGTTATTTATAAAGTAACTTTATGAGTGTAATTGCTAAACAAGAACACTATACAATCCTTTCTCTAAATTATTAATTTCTACACTCTGAAAAAAAGTTTAGAGTTAAGAGCCTTTTACCTTCAAAAAAAAAAAAAAAAATTCAGAAACCAAGTACAGTTGCCCTTTGATATCCATGAGGTCTTGGTTCCGTGACCCTCCAGGAATACCCAAGCCCAGGGATACTCAAGTCCCTATATAAAATAGCATAGTATTTGCACATAATCTACGCACGTCTTCTCATATGCCTTAGATCATCTCTTGATTACTTATAATACCTAATACAATGTAAATGCTATGCAATTAGTTGTTATTCTGTTATTGTTTAAGGAATAATGATGAGAAAAATGTACATGTTCAGTACAGATGCAATTTTTTAAAAATATGTTTGAATATTTCAGAATAGAAAATGTTCTATTTTGGTTGGTTGCATCCATGAATGTGGAACCAACAGATAGACAGCTGACTATATATTAAAAAATTGGCCTGGCATGGTGGCTCATGCCTGTAATTCCAGCATTTTGGGAGGCTAAGGTGAAGGATCGTTTGAGCCCAGGAGTTCAAGGCCAGCCTGGGCAACAAAGTGAGACCTCATCTCTATGGGTGGAAAAAAAGCCCAGAGGTTCAAGGCTGCAGTGAGCCATGATTGCATCACTGCACTCCAGCCCAGGCAACAGAATGAAACCTGTCTGAAAAAAAAATCTTACAGAAAATTGTAATTTTACCTGTAGTTATCAGGATAGCAATTAGCAGGGTAGTAAAAACCTAAAACTTTGGACAAATGTCATCAATTTCTTCCACCAATGCCTTGGCTGTGCCAAAGAAGCAGAAGTGTTGGATTATATAGCTGGAGGAGGGAGCAGCAGAAGGAGGAATGGATGGAAAGGACACAGGTGACTCTAAGCTGAGTGTACCCACCATGAGCAATGGAAGAAAGTTTGGGACAGGTACCACCACACCTACCACATGCTAACCTCCTGGTTCTGTGCTTTTTATCTCATTTAAACCTTATAATTGGCCTATGAAGGATGATATCAATTTCTCTCTCTTTTTTTGGTTTTTGTTTGTTCGTTTGTTTTTTTGAGACAAAGTCTACCTCTATTACGCAGGCTGGTTAGAGTACAGTGGCATGATCTTGGCTCACTGTAATTTCCGCCTCCCAGGTTAAAGTGATTCTCCTGATTCAGCCTCCTGGGTAGTTGGGACTACAGGCATACACTACCACACCCAGCTAATTTTTGTATTTTTCGTAGAGGCAGGATTTTGCCATATTGATCTTGAACTCCTGGCCTCAAATGATCTGTCCACCTCGGCCTCCCAAAGTGCTGGAATTACAGGCATTAGCCATCGCACCTGGCCAGTATCTCTGTTTTATAGATGAAAAGATGGAGGCCTAGAGTTGGTAAATCTGTGGTGCCTCTGGGTTCTGTAGTTTGACCCTCTGCATCAGTAGTTTCTTGCTTTATTGTTTTTTAATCACTTACACATCTAGGCATGAGTAAGGGCGAGTGGGCCAATGGTTGGCCGAGGAGGCGCTGAATGAGAGTAGGAAGTTAAACAGGAGCAAAACTGCCACATTCAGGTGATGTGTGACGGGCTGTGTGCGTGACCCTGCCTGTCCCTGTTCTGCTTCAGTGAACAGGTGTATCTTAGCATTAAACTGCTTGAAATAAAGGTAAAGATCATTTAAAATATAATTTTTTAACAAATATTTAGACCGTATTCCATGAGGAATCCAGAATTGGATGCTAAAAAAACAGTTTCTTAATTATACGTGACTCTTTCCAGGGACTCTATACCAAGATTATGTTCTGCATCACTTCCGAGTCTTGCCTTTTTATGTTTAAAGCAAAATACGTAAATCTGCAGTTAATTCATAAGGTAACAACATTCTTTTGGACAGGGTATAGCCTTTGACAGTATTTTAAGAACACAAATGATAGCTTGCTTATGTGAGACCCATTAAAATGTATTGCTTTGACTTTTCTGTCTTCCAGAGCTGAAAAAGGTATATGATATTAATTAAATGAGTCATTTTCTCTTTTTAAATTTGACTCTCTCTAGGAATAATTCATCACCATACAAATATATTGAGCGTGTCATCCAGTAAAAGTCTAAAATTTTACTTTACGTTTTTAATTTTGCTGTACTATTATTTTCTGTTGTATTGGCTATGACAGTGTATCACTTGGAATAGTTAAACTTTTGTTTACTAATGGCTTGATGTACACTGAAAATAGCAGCGTTTCCCAGTTTAACTTTTCAGAATGAGCTATAGCAGGGGGAAATGGTTACTTGTTGAACTGGATCTGGAGCCTTCCTCTAATACATTTTACTAAGTGTTTCTTAGACTGCTTAAGAATTTCCTTTGCTTGGTAAAATCATTTACATTACTTTTTCCCTTAGGAAAACTGTGTTTCTCTCCCAATAATTTTTATCATAGGTAATTTTTGTTTGTTATCCACATTCACAGAAGAAATAACTCCAAAGAATATCAGATTGGTATGATATGGTTATGTAGTAAACTGAACAGTAAATTAATTTTCTAATTCTTTGCTGTATTACCTTCTCTCTCTCTTTTTTTTTTTTTTTTTGAGATGGAGCCCTGCTCTGTCACCCAGACTGGGGTGCAGTGGCAAGGTCTCAACTCACTGCAACCTCCGACTCCCGGGTTCAAGCAATTTTCCTGTCTCAGCCTCCCCAGTAGCTGGGATTACAGGCACCCACCACCATACCCGGCTAATTTTTTGCATTTTTAGTAGAGACGGGGTTTCATCATGTTGGCCAGCTGGTCTTGTACTCCTGACCTCATGATCCGCCCACCTCAGCCTCCCAAAAGCTGGGATTACAGGCGTGAGCCACTGTGCCCAACCTGCTGTATTACTTTCTTTTTGTTTTTATTCCTTTAAAAAGGTAACGAGAGCCAGTAGATACCATGTGCAATATTTCCTGTACTTTGACTTTTAAAGATTGGGTACTATATTGCAGTTCATGAAATAACTTCATATTTACTGAAAATAGCACTGGATAATACTTTCCTAGGGCTGGTTTTTGTGTGTGTGTTGTTGTTGTTGTTTATGTTTTCAACCTTGTGGTATCTTCCACGATTAGGAAAGTATTCCATATGAGCTGACAGTGTTGTGGTTTCCTCCCTGTTCTTCGGCCTTGGCCTCCGGTTTCAGGATCTGTGTTTTCTAACCCAGCTGCCCTCAAGACTCTCTCTGGTTCATTCTCCTAAAGAACGCCTTCCTACCCTTCTTCTACAGAGTTCTATATGTCAAATCTGCATTTGTATGATTGCATAATTTTGATCCACTCACCTGTCAGCCTGTTTGAATATTGAAAACACTTTTGTTTTGTTTTTTGTTGCTGTTGTGTGTCATCCAGAAATGCTTTGGAGCCTCCATGTTGTTTCCTTAAGTCATGCTGTGTTCATTATGCCTAGCAGAGATTTTTTTTTTCCCCGCTGCTAATACTTATAGCAAGGATTAAATGGTTAAGGAAGGAATGATTTTTAAACTCAACAGTCAGTAATCTGGAGTTTCCTTATTTGTAAAGAAATCAGAATATGTGGTATAATTCATTCAAACATATTCCTGCTAGAATAAATTCATCAAGTTGTAGATTTTTTTTTTATTCCAATGTATTTGGTGTATGCTTAGTAGTTGTTTGCTTCCCAGCGAATTGTTTTTCTTTCCAGAACCTCTGTCAGAGGAAATTTACTAGAAGTTACCAGAAGTGATTATGTAAAGAATACTATTATACAAAGTCTCTTAGAGTGAACACTGAAAAATCAGTCTGTATAAAACACTGATTTAGATCTTAGGGGCTTTCAGGGCCTAGCCCTTACTTTCCAGAACTTTAAAATTTCCAAAGCTGGCGGGGTGTGGTAGCTCACACCTGTAATCCCAGCACTTTGGGAGGCCAAGGCAGGATGATGGCACGAGTCCAGGAATTTGAGATCAGCCTGGACAACATGGCAAAAAATGTTAAATATGTGGCCTTGAGGCGGAGAGCAGTGACTCACGCCTGTATTCCCAGCACTTTGGGAGATCAAGGCAGGTGGATCATTTGAGGTCAGGTGTTCGAGACCAGCCCGGCCAACATGATGAATCCCCATCTCTACTAAAAATACAAAAAGTAGCTGGGTGGTAGTGGCACAGGCCTATAATTGCAGCTACTTGGTAGGCTGAGGCAGGAGAATCAGTTGAACCTGGGAGGTGGAGGTTTCAGTGAGCCAAGATGGTACCACTGCACTCCAGTCTGGGCGACAGAGTGAGACCCAGTCTCAAAAAAAAAAAAAAAAAAAAAAAAAAAATTAGGTGGCCTTGAAATTTTTATCCAGGTAAAAGACAATCATAGACAGAACGAAATAACCACAATAATAATGAAAAATATTCTAATTTGAAAGTCAGGCATGAATGCAGTTTCAAACCCGATTGTTACTAAACAAATTCAGTCTATCCTAAAAGCTGTTTCTTATGTCTATATGTATTATCAGAAGAAACAATAGCATTCTAGCATCCCAGTATAATTCTAGCATTGGGATGAAATGTTGCCATCCTGGGAAAAGACATGGGTTCTTATGAATAGGTGATTTCACCTTGAGCCAGCGTTAGCAGTGTTTGGGAGCAGTGTACGTGCATGCACCGTATCCTGCCTTTCCTCTGTGAAATGCTGCGGTTCTATCTGGTGCTTTGAAAACATGCCCCACTGGAATGTTTTGGGGAAAAAATCGCGTATTTCAAAGTTTCATTGATTATAATCATGTAAAGCAACTGATTGCCTCTACCATTTACTTTAAGAAACTTTCCTAACAAAATACCCCTTCATTTGCCTCTGTAATGAACTGTGTGGACAAGGATGTTAAATGACTATGCATAAAAAATTAAATCTGTTCTCACTGTCTGCCCATTTGTGTTTCAGGCATCCTGACAAAAACAAAGATCCTGGAGCAGAAGACAAGTTCATTCAAATCAGTAAGGCTTACGAGGTATTGTGTCCAGCTTTGTTGGGCTTTTTTTGTTTTGTTTTTTTGATTTTTGCTTTTGAGATGGAGTCTTACCCTGTCGCCCAGGCTAGAGTGCAGTGACACCATCTCAGCTCACTGCAAGCTCCTCCTCCCAGGTTCAAGCAATTCTCCTGCCTCATCCTCCCAAGTAGCTGGGGTTATAGGCACCTGCCACCACACTCAGCTAATTTTTGTATTTTTAGTAAAGAGGGGTTTTTACCATGTTGGCCAGACTGGTCTCCAACTCCTAACCTCAGGTGATCCACCTGTCTCAGCCTCCCAAAGTGCTGCAATTACAGGTAGGAGCCACTGCACCCGGCCTTCATGTCCAACTTTGTGATGCATCCATTAGCTCTTATAAAATATGCCTTAGGAAGTGATGATTCATAAAGTTCTCAGAAAGGTCATGTTCCCCATACCCTTGACCCAGTTTCTAAATTGTAATAAAGAGAACATATTTGGCCACATCCTATATATTGAAACAAGTGCCTGAACACTTCAGCTCTTGGAAAAACTGTCCTATCTTAAAGGCTTTAACTAGAATTGTAGAATTACCCTGAATATGTCTGTATATGTCTCTATTGCCTTCTTAGAAATTTACATTAAAGAATTACATACTAATTTGCCTGTATTTATTAAAGTGGCACAAGGTGCCAGGCACAGTGGCACATGCCTATTGTCCCAGCTAGTAGGGAGGCTGAGGCTGAAGGATCGCTTGAATTCAGGAGTTCTGGGCTATAGTACACTATGCTGATCGGGTGTCCGTACTAAGTTCAGCATCATTATGGTGACCTCCTGGGAGCTGGGGACCACCAGGTTGCCTGAGGAGGAGTGAACTGGCCCAGGTTGGAAACGGAGCAGGTCAGAACTCCCGGGCTCATCAGTAGTGGGATCTCGCCTGTGAATAGCCACTGCACTCCAGCCTGGGCAACATAGCAAGACCCCATCTCTTTTTTTTTTTTTTTTGAGGCGGAGTTTTGCTCTTGTTACCCAGGCTGGAGTGCAATGGCGCGATCTCGGCTCACCGCAACCTCCGCCTCCTGGGTTCAAGCAATTCTCCTGCCTCAGCCTCCTGACTAGCTGGGATTACAGACAAGCGCCACCATGCCCAGCTACTTTTTTGTGTTTTTAGTAGAGACGGGGTTTCACCATGTTGACCAGGATGGTCTCGATCTCTCGACCTCGTGATCCACCCGCCTCGGCCTCCCAAAGTGCTGGGATTACAGGCTTGAGCCACCGAGCCCGGCTGACCCCATCTCTTAAAAATAAAAAATAAAGTGGCACAAGGTAACAAATACATTTGAACACAAGATTTTCAATTTTCCGACATGTCAGCTTAAGTAGGTTGGTCCAGAATATGCGTAAAGGAGAAGTCAGTGGCTTCCTGATTTGTGTAGGGCAGGCGTCCCCAAACTTTTTACACAGGGGCCAGTTCACTGTCCCTCAGACCGTTGGAGGGCCGCCACATACTGTGCTCCTCTCACTGACCACCAATGAAAGAGGTGCCCCTTCCTGAAGTGCGGCGGGGGGCCGGATAAATGGCCTCAGGGGGCCGCAGTTTGGGGACGCCTGGTGTAGGGAATGCCCTTCAACAGACTGCTTAGCTCATAGAAATGACACATCATCATCCTAAACAGATTCCTGGATTTTAGACCTCAAAGTTACTTCTAAGTAAAACAAAGTCAACTAACATAAAAAGCACTAGACTATAGCTACTTTTTTGGTGTTCATAGCTTTTCTTATCTTGGTTTGCATTAGTCTAAGTCAATTTTCTTGTGATTGAGCCCTGGTGATCAACATTATGTTTTATTTGTTTTGCTGAAGTGTTTCCGTTGTAGTTTGAAATCTTTAATGCCAAGATGAGCATAACTATCTAAACTGAACAATTTCAGTATTGAATGTTCTTTAATGTTTCTCTAGTGAAAGAAGAGTTTCTCATTCTATTGAATGACTGCATTTAGAATGTCTAATTGGCCGGACACAGTGGCACACTGTAATACCAGCACCTGGGGAGGCTGAGGCATGCGGATCACTTAAGCTCGGGAATTCAAGACCAGACTAGGCAACAAGACGAAACTTCATCTCCACAAAAATACAAAAATTAGCCTGGTGTGGTGGCTTGTGGTGGTGGTCCCAGCTACTCAGGAAGCTGAGGTGGAAGGTTGAGCCAGGAGGGTGGAGGCTACAGAGAGCTATGATCATGCCACTTCACTCCAACCTGAGCAACAAAGCAAAACCCTGTCTCAAAAAGAAAAAGAATATCTAATTATGTAATAATGTCTTTTCTGTTTTGTTAAGAGACAGTCTGTCTCTGTCACTCAGGCTGGATGGAGTATAGTGATATAATCACAGCTCACTTGCAGCCTTGAACTCCTGGGCTCAAGCAATCTCCCACCCACCTCACCCTCCCAAGTAGCTACAACTATAGGCACCCATCACCATGCCTGGCCGATTTTTTTTCTTTTTGTAGCAACGTCTTGCTGTGTGGCCCAGACTGGTCTTGAACTCCTGGCCTCAAGGGATCCTCCAAACCTAGGCCTCTCATAATCGTGTCATAATTTTTGCGTTTATTTTCTTCCTTTGTCTTCTAAGCTGCTTACAGAAAAGTCTTTTGGGTGAATCTTTTTGCCTGTTGTTTAGATTTCTTTTTTCCTTCCTTTATAGATTCTTTCAAACGAAGAAAAGAGATCAAATTATGATCAATATGGAGACGCTGGAGAGAACCAGGGCTACCAGAAGCAGCAACAGCAGCGAGAGTATCGCTTCCGCCATTTCCACGAAAATTTTTATTTTGATGAATCCTTTTTTCACTTCCCTTTTAATTCTGAACGGCGGGACTCAATTGATGAAAAGTATTTATTGCACTTTTCACATTATGTGAATGAAGTGGTTCCAGATAGCTTCAAGAAACCTTACCTCATTAAGATCACTTCGGATTGGTGCTTTAGCTGTATTCATATCGAGCCTGTGTGGAAAGAAGTTGTTCAAGAACTGGAAGAATTGGGTAAGATAATTTTATTCATTACATAGATGACTTTTTTTTTTAAGATGGAGTCTCTCTCTGTTGCCCAGGCTGGAGTGCAGTAGTGCCATCTCGGCTCATTGCAACCTCCACCTGTCATGTTCAAGCCATTCTTCTGCCTCAGCCTCCTGAGTAGCTGGGATTACAGGCACCCACCATCACATCCAGCTAATTGTTGTACTTTTAGTAGAGACAGGGTTTCGCTATGTTGGCCAGGCTGGTTTTGAACTCCTGACTTCAAGTGATCCGCCTGCCTCGGAAGTGCTGGAATTATAGGCATGAGCCACTGTATCCAGCCCCAAAGCAAACTTTTTTAAACACCTGTTTTATAAACCTTTTTGAAAGTCTTTCTTAAATGTATTAGTCTGCTTTCTTCAACCCTGTGACGCCTAAGCACCAATTTTTTGACTTGTGAGCTGAGCCTTGAAGAGGATTGGAAGTCAGCTGAGGAATTTTCAGTCACACAATTTGGTAAAAACTAGTGTGCAAAAGCATCCAATGTTTATAGAGAAGTGTACTGCGGAGGAGGGCCCAGAATTAGCACCACCCCTGACCTTGAGCTCACCATTTAGTTAAAGAGAAAATATATACACAGAGAGCACTGACCTCACATTTGCAAGTACAGAATAATGTGGTGCTGAAGGAGTAGACAAAAGATGACAAGACATTAATTTTGTGTTTTCTAACACCTTGCCCTTGAATCAGATATTTTCTTTTTTTTCCTTTTTTTTTTGGAGACGGAGTTTCGCTCTTGTTACCCAGGATGGAGTGCAATGGCGCAATCTCGGCTCACCACAACCTCCGCCTCCTGGGTTCAGGCAATTCTCCTGCCTCAGCCTCCTGAGTAGCTGAGATTACAGGCACGCGCCACATACCCAGCTAATTTTTTGTATTTTTAGTAGAGACGGGGTTTCACCATGTTGACCAGGATGGTCTCGATCTCTTGACCTCGTGATCCACCCGCCTTGGCCTCCCAAAGTGCTGGGATTACAGGCCTGAGCCACCGCACCTGGCCCCAGATATTTTCATTTGAAACTTTTTTCTCAGTCAGCTTTCATGTGCCAATTACTGTAGTCGACAACAAAAGATATATAATAATAATACTTTTTGTTGAACATTTCCACTCCCTTGCATTGTGGTAAATGCTTTCTGTGCATTTTCTTTGTCCCCAAAGCAACTCAATGAAGGAGAGACTGTTATTATCCCTTTTTTACAGATGAGGAAGCTAAGGCATTGAAGGTTAAGGAACGAATTCAGTGTTATACTACCCATAAGCATCAGTGTTGGATATGGACCCAGGAATCTGACCTTCAGTTTCCTCATCCATAAAGATAGCAATACTTACCATGCAGAGTGGTTGTGAGTAAGAAAAGTATGACGCATATAAAGCTGTAGGCATGATACCTAACATACAAAGCACTCAAGAAGTGGTAATCCCTTGGGCCTTTGTCTTACAGCCACTTGGCCTCCGTAGGTGATGTCTCTTCTGTCTTTACAAATGACCAAATCTCCCAGTATATATGCCTGCTATATTCTTTTTCTTTCATCTGCTCACATAATTCTCTGTGCACTTCCATTTATTGAGATTGTTCCACAGTTATTTTTAATGGCTGTGATGTGATACAACAGTAATACTGTATACTTAGCTCTAAAGAAGAGCCAAGAATCCAGTTTGGATTCTCGTTCTGCAATTTTGTCAGCTTTGCAACCTGGAATAAGGCGCTTTACCTCTCTGAATCCTCTCTCTGATTCTGTAAAATGAGGGAAATGGGCTGTATAATGCCTAAGGTTCCTCCTTTCCTGCCATTGAGAGACTGCAGCCGTCACGGTCCAGTAGCCTGCAGATAGCTTCATTTTGTCTGCTCAGCAATTTTAAAGCATTAAGTTTGGGATCCCTCCATTTACTCAGCATTTCATTTTAGGAGTTTACTAATTAGGAAATAAGCACACAAGAGCACAAAGCTGTGTGTACAAAGATGTACAAGGATGCCTGTCAACATTCCTTATATTGTTAAGAATTAGACCAAAAGCAACCTTTGATACTGTGCTTTGTGATAAGAAATCTATGTATATTTTGGTGTTCATTCCAGTTCTTGGCACAGATCTCCTAAAACCCTTGAGATTGCCTATGAGTAGGGGTGGGCTAAGAGAATCTTTTGCTCTCACATTTGCTCTTGACTCTGATTCCTGACATGGAGCTCCTGATCCTTGGAATTTCCTGCAGGACCAGAAAGGCCAGACCATGATTAGAAGTTTGAAAGTTCTCACTCTCATCCTCCAGAAAGAGGAGAGGAGCTGGAGACTGAGTTAATAATTGATCATGCCTACATGATGAAGCCTTCACAAAAATCCCCGAACTCTGGCTCAGTTTCCTGGGGGGTGGGCCCAGCCTACTCTACCTCCCCTCAGCTGAGCCTACAGTAGAGGGGCCAGGCATCCTCCCTGATGGGAGAGGCATTTGAGTAAGGAGCCTTGCCTCGGGTGTCCTAGCCTCACATTTGCTGGACAAAAAAATGAACATATCTATATGTATATCTAATCCTTGAACTACTGGGTTTGAGATTTCCCAGGGGGCTGAATACATGGAGATGCCCAGAGGGTGACAAGCCCCGAGAGGGCAGGGGTGCCCCCTACTTCCATATGCCTTGCTGTGTGCCTCTCTCTCTTCTGGCCGATCATCTTCTTTGTAATAGCCCTTACACCTAATGTGTAAACATAAGGATTGTTACCCTGAGTTTTGTGAGCCGCTCTAGCAAATTAATTGAACCCAAGGAGGGACTCACAGGACCCTTTGATTTATAGCCAGTTGGTCAAAAGTACAGGACGAAACTGGGGACTTCTGGCCTCTAAAGTGGGAGCAGCCTTTGTGGGACTGAACCCTTAACCTGTGGGACCTGATGCTATCTCTGGGTAGATAGTGTAAGAATCGAGTTGATACCCAGTTAATGTCTGCTGGAGGATTTATGGGGAACCCCCAAGCCCAAAGCATGAGGTGTCAGAAGTGAGGTGTTCAGCTGGGCATAGTGGCACATGCCTGGAATCCCAGCTACTTGGGTGGCTGAGACAGGAAGATGGCTTGAGCCCAGGAGTTTGAGACCAGCCTGGGCAACATAGTGAGACTCCATCTCTTAAACACTGAGTGTCAGGGAAAGTAGTGTGTTGGTGTGAGTAGGAAAAACAGTTTGATTTTTCCTCTCTCATAACTTCAATGTGTGACAATAAAGAACGGGTTAAATAGATTGATGGCCCAGTGAGTTTCTACTATGTGCCAGGCTCTGGTCTGGTGTTGGGGATACACAGGGATCCCTGCCTTCATGAGGCTTAACATTCTAGAAGGGGAGACAGACAATATAACAATTGACAGAAGGAAAGTGGGTGGGACATTAGAAGATGGTAAACACTGTGGGGAAAAAAGTGAAAGTGAGCAGGTTGTGTGTGTGGCCTGAGTGGGCCGTATTTTAAATATGGTACCAAGGTAGGCCCCAGCCAGAAGGACTTGAAGTTGGTGAAGAAGTCAGCTACGCAGAAGTTGGGTAGATACACACTTCAGGCTGAAGGAATAGCCAGTGCCAAGGCCCTGAGGCAGGAATATCCATGTCCTCAGATCACAGCAAGCATGCTGGGGACTGGGGCGGGCTGATGGAGGAGTGGGAGAAGAAAGAGGGCATGGGGAACCAGGGCCAAACACAGAGGGTCTTGTTGGCCTCTGTGAGGATTGTGCATTTTATTCCAACTGAAATGGGTCTTTGCAGGGTTTGGGCAGAGCAGTGATGTGATCCATTTTTATGTTTTAGAAGGAACAGCCTGGCTGCTATGTTAAGAACAGACTGCCAGGAGACATGGAGAAATAGGGGGAGGGCATTTAGGATATTGTTACAGCAACATAGGCAGGAGAGATAATGATGACTCAGAGCAGGGCATATAATGAAAGTGATGAAAAACAGTTGAATTCTGGACATATTCTGAAGAGAAAACCAAAAAGACTTGCTGACAGATTGGAGGTGGGGTGCAACTGATAAGAGAAGCTGAAGATGGTTTTTGGCCTGAGTAACTGAAAGGATGGAGCCGTCATCAACGGAAATGGCAAAGGTGTGGGTGGGACAGGTCTGTGGGAGGGGATCAGGGGTTCGTTTTTGGAAATGTTAAGCCAAAAAAATCTAGTAGACATCCAAAAGAAAATGTACATTTATCGGCCCTTAATATTGAATGTGTCTCCAGTGGTAGCAGTAACTAGCCCTCCAAATATATTGATTGAATGAAAGAACAAGAAAAGCTATTCAAGTATTAAGTGAAATAAGTATCAGATGATCCTAGTTTATGTATATGTGTACCCACACATACACACACACACACACACGCATTTGTAACTTTTCTTACATATTGCCAGATTGCCCTGCAGAAAAACTGAGCCAATCTAGAATTCCAGCAGTGAAAGAATGCCAGATAGTCTATTAGGAAAGACATCCTCTGAGGTCGGGATTTCAATTTCACACCAAAAAATTACTTAGCGCTTTTTCCAGCTGCAATGGAGACATAAAAAGCCTTCACTTGTATATTCCATTCTTTTCAGGTGTAGGAATTGGCGTGGTCCATGCTGGGTATGAGAGACGCCTGGCCCATCACCTGGGGGCACACAGCACGCCCTCTATCCTAGGAATCATTAATGGGAAAATCTCCTTCTTCCACAATGCAGTTGTCCGTGAGAATCTGCGACAATTTGTAGAAAGTCTTCTTCCAGGGAACTTGGTGGAAAAAGTAAGTATCTGTCAAGGAAAACATGGCTAAGAAGTGGTTTAAGCCGGGCGCGGTGGCTCAAGCCTGTAATCCCAGCACTTTGGGAGGCTGAGGCGGGTGAATCACGAGGTCAAGAGATCGAGACCATCTTGGTCAACAAGGTGAAACCCCGTCTCTACTAAAAATACAAAAAATTAGCTGGGCATGGTGGCGCGTGCCTGTAATCCCAGCTACTCAGGAGGCTGAGGCAGGAGAATTGCCTGAACCCAGAAGGCGGAGGTTGCGGTGAGCCGATACCGCACCATTGCACTCCAGCCTGGGTAACAAGAGCAAAACTCCGTCCCAAAAAAAAAAAAAGAAGTGGTTTAAGAGGCACATAGGACTGCTAATTGCCCAGAACATTATCTGTAATCCTCTCAAACCTGAATTTCATTATGAGGAAGGCAAGACATATTAATTAATTAATTACTCAAACTAAATCATTTAAGTGAAGTCTGTAGGAGACTAAAAATTGAAATAGATGAAGTAGAGACTGAAAGAATTAATTCCTCTTAATGACCATCTTGCAGATCTTACACTGCCATGGGAATTTGAGCCTAAAATGACAGTGCCTGTTTTCTAAACAAAAAAAAATTAGATCACATGGTAGAAAGTATCAGGGATTTCTTTTCTCTTCTTTTCTTTTCTTTTTTGAGATGGAGTCTTGCTGTTGTTGCCCAGGCTGGAGTGCAGTGGCATGATCTTGGCTCACTGCAACCTCCATCTCCTGGGTTCAAGCGATTCTCCTGCCTCAGCCTCCCAGTAGCTGGAATTAGTGGCACCTGCCACCACACCTGGCTAATTTTTGTATTTTGAGTAGAGACGGGATTTCGCCATGTTGGCCAGGCTAGTCTTGAACTCCTGACCTCAGGTGATCCACCCACCTTGGCCTCCCAAAATGCTGGGATCACAGGCATGAGCCACCACAGCCAGCCAAGAATTAGGGATTTCTTTCCAACTCATAAATTTGTTCATGTGAAGATATTTGTCTTTATTTAAATTTAATTATATTTGGTTATATGTTCAATGATCGTATCTATGGAAAATGCCAGATTCCATGAAATCAAATATTATTTTTGAAACTTTAGAAACTTACAGTGACAATAATATGAATGAATTTCACAAAGAAAAGGTTGAAGAAGCCAAAGTTTACATTAGTTTATAATTTCCATATTTAGGCGCCTAATATATTTTTTTCAATATCTTAAGTTAGGGATCAAAGTAGTTAGGAAAGGACCTCATTTTGCTTTAAATAATTCATTCTTTTAAGAATACCAGGGAGAGTGAACATAAAATATTTTCATCATATTTTTACATGTACTATCCCTAGACTGTCCTGCTGGGATCATTATCTGTAGAAGAAATATTTGTTGGAGTTAACTGTCAGAGAGTATTGTAGGCTCCTAAAAGGATGATGATTGTCTGATGGATCCTCAAACATTTATATAAAATATCTATTCTGTGCCCAGCATAGATTAAGTAGCCATTTCAAGCAGCTTCCAAGCTCATGGGTGATTATTTCCAGTATGTTGGTGTCCATCCTAAAGAGTTGGGAAAGGCTTCCTGGCAGAAGTAACCCTTGGACTGGGTTTGCCAGGTGAGGAGAGAGAAGGAGGGAGTGGGCTGCAGGCAGGCAGAAATCTGGAGACATGAAATAGCCTGCTTTGTAAGAAGTTTTCATTGGTGAGCAGCAGAGGAGGGGGTTAGAAGGGTTCTCAGGAATCTCCCTGTGAGGGCTTCAGAGCACCTCCAAGCCCCTTGAAGGAGCTTGAGCCTTGGCCTGCAGGTGATGAGCCATTGTAGGGTTTTGAGCAGAGGAGTGAAATAATCATGTGGGTTTTATATAAATCCTTCTAGGTGCAGTATGGAAAGAAACTTTTTTTAACGACTATGAAAAATTTCTAGCTAGAAAATTTATTCATGTTTTTAATTTGTTCTCTCAGTAGGAATATTTTAAGATGTCAACGGGGGAAAGTAGCAATTCAGATAACAATAAGTAAAATTATATAATGTGTAGAGGGGGTGGATCACCTTATTTTTATTTAAACCATTTAAAAGGAGCAAGCTGGCCTAGAGTGGTGGCTCATGCCTGTAATCCTAGCATTTTGGGAGGCTGAGGTGTGAGGATCACTTGAGTCCACAAGTTCAAGACCAGCCTGGGCAACATACTGAGAACTGATCTCTACAAAAAAATACAAAAATTAGCCAGGCATGGTGCCATGTGCCTGTAGTCCCAGCTATTCAGGAGGCGAGGTGGGAGGATCACTTGACCTTGGGAGGTTTGGGAGGTTGAAGGTGCAATGAACCATGATCATGCCATTGCACTCTAGCCTGGGCAACAGAGCAAGACCCTGTCTCAGAAAAAAAGGGAAGAGGGGCAAGCTGGGAGACTGAGGCGTGATAGACAGATAGATGATTGATTGGTAGGTAGGTAGGTAAGTAGGTATTAAAAGGGCCAGTGTTGCATTATTTTCTGCTGGATAGTAGATTAAGAAGTATACTCTATAATTAAGCAAGAACCAACTCTGGAAGTTCAATTTTTATAATATGGTCAGTAATTGTTTCAGACAGGATTATGATTTTAGTCTGTAAGAATTAAAATATGAAATCAATATCTCCATTCTTTTAATAGTTTTAGCCAAATGAAGACAAAAAGATTAGTTGTCTGCATTTTTATTTTTTGTCATCTTTTATACTTACTTGATTTATTTTTTCCTCACTGGAGTATGACACAATTGTTAAATATTGAGACTAACATTCTGTTTTCAATTTAAGGTTACAAATAAAAATTATGTCAGATTCCTCTCTGGCTGGCAACAAGAGAATAAGCCTCATGTCCTTCTGTTTGACCAAATGCCCGTTGTGCCACTGTTATACAAGGTACTCTCTGTGCTGGGGTAATGGTTTGGTTTCGTTTCTTTTCTTTTCTTTCTTCTTCTTTTCCTTTCCTTTCTTTCTTTTTTTTTTTCTTTTTTTTTTTTTTAGCAGAAAGTATAATCTCTGAGTTGGAACTTACAGCCTATTTGTCTTTATTGTAAGAAACAGTTTATTCCATGAGAAATGTTTGAAGACCAGAAATTTACTTAACCATCATACATTGAGCACCTACTGATGCCATTTACTGTGCTAGTGCTTTCTATGCACACATCATTTAATCCTTAGAAGGACCCAGTGATAGAGATGTTATCCCTGGTTTTTTGGGGGTTTTTTTTGTTTTTTTTGTGTTTTTTGGTTTTTTTTGAGAAAAACTCTCACTTTGTCGCCCATGCTGGAGGGCAGTGTCGTGATCTAGGCTCACTGAAACCTTCGCCTCCCCGATTCAAGCGATTCTTTCACCTCTACCTCGCAAGTAGCTGGGACTACAGGCACACGCCACCCCACCCGGCTAATTTTTGTATTTTAGTGGAGATGGGCTTTCACCATGTTGACCAGGCTGATCTCAAACTCCTGACCTCAAGTGATCTGCCTGCCTTGACCTCCCAAAGTGCTAGGATTAAAGGCATGAGCCACCATGCCTGGCCACTATCCCTATTCCATAGACCAAGATCATGAGGGTTAGAGTGGTCATGTACTCTACCCAAGTTCTCATTATAGCATGGTGAGTGCAATTCCCATTGACTTCAGACCTGCCCTCTGAATGATGCCCCCACTACACTCCCAGCCTACCTGTTCTCCCCACTACCTCTCATGCCACTGTGACATGAGATGGGAGAGGAAGGTATCCTAATCAGTGGCATGGTCACTGCCAATCTTACCTAATTACGGTACTGGTAATCCCCAGACCAGTACAGATTTCAAGAAGATTATTTTGCCTTAACTATGAAAAAAAAGAAAGGGTTGTTTGTATTTACCTGTTCGTACAGTTTTTGCACATGGAACACCATAAAATTCCTGAAAGTATACAAGGATATGGAAGACCTAGTAGAGCTGTATAAATTGCATGCATCTCTCTGCTCAGTGATGTTAAAAAGCCCTACTTGATTTGTAATTTACATCTTTGCTCTAGTTTTATTTTCTTCCTCTCTCTTATGCCCTAACAGTTGACTGCTTTTGCATACAAAGATTATTTATCATTTGGATATGTACATGTGGGTTTCAGAGGGACAGACGAGATGACGAGGCAGTACAACATCAACATCTACACCCCCACTCTCTTGATCTTTAAAGAACATATCAACAAGCCTGCCGATGTTATCCAGGTACGTGAGGGTCGCCTTGCTTTAAGATTTTCTTTGCATTTTATCCCAAAATTTTGTGTAAATAAACAGCAAAATTGAACAAAGTGGGTGAAGGAAAGGATCAATTAGTTTTCAGTCTCTTCCTTCAGATGCACAAAATTTTTAAATGAATTTTTTTTCTCTAACTTGGTACTATTTGCTTTAAACATTTTTAATTGTAAAAATTTAAAATTTTACCTTTAAAGGGCTTCTGTTGGAAAACCAACAATCTTTTTCCAAAATGAATTTAAAAGTTAAATGCAAACCAATAATAAAAAGGAATAAGAAGAAACCACAAACTAACAGAGAATGTACAGATGAATACTTATCTTAAGGTGGGAAAGGATTAAAAAGCATTGGGAAAAAAAATGTTGGAAAATCTTAATAATTTGACTCTAAGTTGTATATTTTTATGTAAATACTTTAAAATGTAAAGTTAAAAAATGGGAAATACAACAAATATTAAAATACTGATTTTTTAATTTCTAAAGAGCTTTTAATCAAGAAAATCAACACAAAATTCTGAGAGGAGATTCAAATGACTAATAAACGTTAAATCTCAGGCTGGGCTCGGTGTCTCACGCCTATAATCCCAGCACTTTGGGAGGCCGAGGCGGGCAAATCATGACATCCTGGCCAACTCGGTGAAACCCCATCTCCACTAAAAATACAAAAAAAAATTAGCTAGGTGTGGTGGTGCGTGCCTGTAGTCCTAGCTACTCAGGAGGCTGAGGCAGGAGAATCACTTGAACCCAGGAAGCGGAGGTTGCAGTGAGCTGAGATCAACAGAGCAAGACTCTGCCTCAAAAAAAATTAAATCTCATGAGTAATCAGAGAACATTAACCTTTTTCACCCATCAAATTGTCAAAGATTTTCTAAGTTAAAATAGTACTAGTGAGGGTGTAGAGAAATAAGTACTATCTTCCTGGAGGAAGTGGGTTTTTAGAAAAGGAATTTGGTAATATTGTATTAATCACTTAAATTCATGAAATTGTGTGCCAAACACTCTTCTGGGTGTAGGGTTACAGCATTGAGTAAGATCAACAGAATTCCCCGTCCTGTGTCCTACTGGGATAGACAGACCAAGAGTATAACATAGTCTGCTATCATTTATTATATAGTGATAAGTGATAAGGAGAAAGATAAAGCAGGAAAGAGGAATGTGGAGTGTTAGGAGAGAAGGGTTGTACTTAGGCAGTAGAATGGCCTAGAAGGCCCTCACTGAGAGCTTAAACAAAGGGCCTAAGGGAGGTGAGACTGTCTTGCAGGAATCTATACTTTTTTCTTTCCTTTTTTCAGACAGAGTTTCACTTTGGTTGCCCAAGCTGGAGTGCAGTGGTGCAGTCTCAGCTCACCGCAGACTCCGCCTCCTGAGTTCAGGTGATTCTCCTGCCTCAGCCTCCCCAGTAGCTGGAATTACAGGCATGCACCACCACGCTTAGCTAAATTTTATACTTTTTAGTAGAGACAGGGTTTCACCATGTTGGCCAGGCTGGTCTTGAACTCCTGACCTCAGGTGATCTGCCTGCCTTGGCCTCCCAAAGTGCTGGGATTACAGGCGTGAGCCAGTGCAGTTGGCCCATAAAGTTCTCTTGAAATTGTCATTTTAAATGGCTCTATAATATTCCCTTCATGGGATGTACTAATAATTATCCTAGTTACCCTACTGTTGGATATTTGATATTTACATTCCAACAGATCATAAAGTAAGAAGAGCAGGTTTAGGAAGATGATAGCTTTGCCTGTGGACATGTTGAATCAGAGCTGCCTGTAGGAAATAGAAGGGGAGAAGCCCTTTTTACAGTTGGGTATAGGAGTCGAGATCTTAAGAAAGGCATGTAGGCTGGGGATAGAAACTGGTGAATCATCAGTAGATGGTTAGTGGTTGAAGTCCTGAATAGGGTAAGATCTTCCCAGCATAATACTGTAGTCCCCTTGATCCACCCCTACTTATCCCCTTATTCGCCTTTTGAGGTTACACTTAGCCACAGTCAACCAGTCCAAAACACAGGTAAGTGCAATACAATAAGATGTTTTGAGTGAGGAGGACTGTGTTCACATAACTTTATTACAGTGTATTGTTAGAATTGTTCCGTTCTAATATTAGTTACTGTTGGTAATCTCTTGCTGTGTCAAATTGATACACTTTATCATAGGCATGTGTATATAGGAAAAAAACATAGTATCTGTAGAGTTCAGTACTATATTGTTTCAGGCACACACTGGGGGTCTTGGAATGTATCCTCTGCAGTTAAGAAACGACTGCTGTATGTAAAGTAAGGCCAGAAGGAGGCCAAGGACAAAACTCAGGACAGCCACCAGCACAAGGGGGTGCCTGATGGAGATGAGAAGGTGCTGAGAGACAGGAAGAAAACAAATGTCAGTGGCCGAATAGAAAAGAGAAGATAATCTCAATCCAGGGTCAGTGGATGAGGATTTCCTAAATTGGTTTTTAGTAACAGTTTATACTTTTGAGAATTATATTCATTTATCCCCTGGGGAAAATTGTAAATCAAATGCATTTACAAAATTACTGGTAGAATGGTTGCTTTACCAACCTACTCTGTGGATATCAAGTGTATGCTTAACAAACTCAGTTTTCCCAGCAGTAGGTGGCTTAATGACCACTAGTAGCACCAGTGGTTTCCTATTACTCTAGGTAATTTGTTTTCATTCCTATATGGTATTTATGGCCATTATAATTTATTGATTCATTCCTACATTGGGGGCTTTGAGGAATAGTGTTGCAATGAGTATCATTACCCAAGCACAGAGTTCTCTAGGACAGCTGTTTTTAGACTGTGGTTCATAGACTCCTGGGGGTTCCCAGAGATCCTTCAAGAAGAAGTCTGTGGGATCATAATAACAAGACACGATTTGTCTTTTTCACTGTGTGGACATTTGTACTGATGGTGCCAAAGCAATAGTGGGTGAAGCTGCTGGCACCAATGCATGAATCCAGGCAGGACACCAGGCCTCCTGCCATCATTGTGTGCTTCACTCCCCAAGCACGCGCAGCAAAGACAAACAGACAACACTAGATTCACTTTATATCTTTGGTTTTGTTTTGTTTTTTTGAGACAGAGACTTGCTCTGTCACCCAAGCTGGAGTACAGTGGCACAATCTCAGCTCACTGCAACCTCTGCCTCCCAGGTTTAAGCGATCCTCCTGCCTCAGCCTCCCGACTTGATGGGGATTACAGGTGCCTGCCACCATGCCTGGCTAATTTTTGTATTTTTAGTAGAGAGAGGGTTTCACCATGTTGGCCAGGCTGTTCTTAAATTCCTGACCTCAGGTGATCCACCCACCTCAGTCTCCCAAAGTGCTGGGATTACAGGCATGAGCCACTGTTTCTGGCCTCACTTTATATCCTTGATGAAGCAGTAAGAAGTATTACTTTTATTAATTAGATTATGTTTTTGAGATTCATACCTGTCATTATGTGGAACTTAATATTCATTCTCGTCGTTGAAAACTGCATGACCAGGCAGTGTCTCATGCCTGTAATCTCAGCACTCTGGGTGGTTGAGGCGGGCAGATCACTTGAGCCCAGGAAGTCGAGATTAGCCTGGGCAACATGACAAAACCTTGTCTCTACCAAAAATACAAAAGGGCGTGATGGTACACACCTGAAGTCCCAGTTACTTGGGGGGCTGAGGCAGGAGGATTGCCTGAGCCTGGAAGGTTGAGGCTACAGTGAGCCATGTTCTTGTCACTACACTACAACCTGGACAACAGAGAAAGATCCTGTCTAGGAAAAAAGAAAAGAAAATTGCATGGTAGGAATAGACTGCAGTGTGTTTGTCCATTCTATTGTTGACAGTTTTTCTAGTTTTTGGTTGTTTGAATAATGATGCTATGAATATGTTCTTGTATTTTGTGTCTTTTTGATGAACATAAGTTCTTTTAATATAGTCATTTGTAACCATACTTTCCTTTGTGATTGGTTCTTGTTTCTATTTAAGACATATTTCCCCTACATCAAAATCATGAAGATATTCTTCTCATAGAGCTTCTAAAAGCTGTATAGCTTTGCCTTTTATATTTAATTATTTAAATGATATCTGATAGAACAAATCTCTCACTTTGTTTTTTTAGATTTGGGGAAACGGTTTTTTCTTCAAAAGCGTCTTGGCTATTGGTCTTTTGTACTTTTTGTATACATTTTAAATTCTGTCAACTTCCATCAAAACAAACCAACCCAAAAAACCTACTGGTGTCTTACTTAGCTTATTCTTAAGTCAGTTTAGGGAGAATAGAGATAATATAAAAGGCAAAGCTATACAGCTTTTAGAAGCTCTGAGAATATCTTCATGATCTTGATCTAGGGGAAGTATGTCTTAAAGTCCTTACAAAATTGAGCCTTCCAACCTTTCAACATGATACATCTCTTTTATTTGTTTAGGTCTTCTGTAATATGTCTTCATAAATTTTATAATTTTCTCTGGAAAGATCTTTTTTTTCCAACTTATTTCTAGGTACCTCCTATTTTTTCAATAGCTCATACTGCAGAAAAAAAATTTTTTTTTTGTTAGTTCATCCAACGAGAAGCCATAACTTTATTTATGATAGAAACAGTACACATTTCAAACCAAGCTGCAGTTACTCCTTTGAGACACCAAAAAAAGTTGCTTTCAGATGGTTACATTGTTAATACCATAATAGCATTTACAATGTCATTACTGTTGTTCTTCAGGGCTCCGACTGCCTTTGCTCTCAACACATTTGCTTGTGACGTGACCGGTTTTATGTCTTTAACTTCTACACCTGTTTCATTGACCTCTCTCTCTTCACTCTCCTCTTGTACAGTTGGAGTCTGTGTGTTTTCTTGAATGTTTGAGACAGCTTCACCTTGAACTTTGAATTTCTCAGCAGCTACTAGTTTTGCTTGCTGAGATAAATCTTCGATCTTGGCTTCCCCAAACACTACGTAGGTATCCGAAGCAGGGCTCTTGGAGACATCTGATTTTGTGATGACAA